TATTGTCGAATTTGGCAGTGGTTTTTTCTGTTGGTCCTATTTTGTCTTGAGCAGGATTTCTGGTAATCTTCTTGGAAAGTTGTCGACAACTCTGAAACAAAAATTGATTGATTAATTTAATTATTCAATTTAACAATTGTGTACCTAACTTCCAGCGGTCTTATGGTGGTCTTGAGTGCGTAGTTTGTTGGGAATCTTCTTGAAAATATATCTGAAACGAGATAAAAAAAAAAACACAAATGCCCCTAAAAATAGGGATTAGCATATAAACGGGGCCCCGGTAATAATATTTAGAAATTATACACTTATAACTAACTTAGGTAATATAATATTAATACTAAAAAACCTCTACATAAACTCCTCCTGGTCGTGATTTGGCAACCCATTCTAGTGTCGTGGTATATGAAACAGGGTTGATACACACTTTCTTCAATCGGTTGTAGTAGTAGTTCTTGGTAATTATATCCCTGGTGTCAATTGTCTAAAATATATATTTCATTAATTATATACATAATTTTTAACGTTTTGTAACTTTATACCTTTTTTTTAACTTCAAACACTGCATCTTCCATATCCCTGCATCTCAGTCCAAGGAAACCTATTGTGCTACCGCAAAAATTTTAAATTCAATTGATCAAATCGCGTTCATTACATAACAGTAAAAAATTCCGTCGAAGTAAATATAAGTAATTTAATAAACAAATCGGAATTAGATTTTTAAATGAGTTATTTGCATCCATGGATAATGTAACATACTAATAATAAAAATTATTAAAAAAAAATTGTACATAATCTGTACATTCAGTATTAATTAAAAATTAAGGTGAATGGCGTTGCTCCGCTTCTGGGAAAACTTTGCAAGCACCACACACCAGCAAGTAAGAAAAAAAATTAATATATTAAATTGATTAAATATTAAATCGCGAATTACTCGAACCTATCGTGGGGGGTAGGCGATAGGAACGTATTGCAAACGCGCACACCCGACTTTAAAAATCGTCTTAAGCGATGAACGATCAACGAATTTTCGAATTAAAGTCCTCGCACGAACAAAACAAAAAAATAAAAAGTTTGGACACAAATAACCCAGGATGATTAAAATAAGTAAATATAACTAATATAAAATCAAATTATTAATTAAAAAATAGATAGGATAATATCAAAAAACTAATGCACAATAAGTTTCCGAAGTTGTCCGCCCCTGTGCAAAACATTGTATAAAACCCTGGAATAAGTGAAAGAAATACATGAGTATTAGTCAAACAATCAAAACAAGCATTAGTCAATTGTAAATATTCAAAATACAGAATCATGTAATAAAATTAATTTATTGTATCTCGAATATCACAAAATATGTCCTAAATTGTTTGTTTTCTCAAAACTTTATCATTATTTAAGGAACAAAAAATCATGTAAAATTCAATAAAGTGTTGATGCAAATATTGATGGCATATACGTAAGACGCATTTAATTATTTATGGTAATCCAGAGATTAGAGGCTAAAATAAAGTATTTTTACAACAAAAAACATTACGGCAACTCAGCACAAATACATAAAAATATAAAAATTAAAAAAAACGATAGATCGATATGAAATCGAGTCAAGGCAGATCAATCCAAACACAAACATGCCATTTATTTAAAACCAAACATATAAAATTGTTACATAATGCAAATTATTTCATAAACACTTACCCTTGCTAGGTCGCCACGAGCTCCAAATACACAATGATATGATGTAGTATATTCGGACAATTTATATAGGCTGAAAACGCTGCAAAACTGGGAATTGTTACCAGATGATAATAAAATTTATCTATTGGCAATAGGAATAGTTCAGGTTCATAACTGTTGACAGTACAAGTGTCTAGTTCCTGAAGAGCCGCCAGGTTATGGCTATGGATGATGCTATAAAATAGTCAGTTTCAGTATGTGGCGTGCAGTAGTAAAAGAAAATTATTGTTGAGTGTTGCTAGAGTAATTGTTTTGATAAACGAAATGCAATCTGATAATACAGAATTTTTGGAAGATATTGGTATTTATAAATGATAGTTCAAGTGCAATTTTAGGCTGATTAAGCGAGACTCAGTTAATCCGAAAGGATTGTAATTATAATTATAATTATATATGTACATATATATTATATATTTATATGTGTGTGTATGTGTGAGTGTAATAAAACAATACTAAATGTTTCAATGCAAATCACGCTATAATCTGAAACCCAATTATATTTACTGCAAGTAATCGCCCGTTCAGTAAAGAACAAATAAAATATATTAACCAAGATGGTTACGAAATGGAGGTGACATTTCCTGATGAGAGGTACGTGATTTTTAATTGATGTTTTTTCATGAAATAATTTATACGTCGCATTTTTTTTTTAACTCGTTTTATTTAGCAATCAGAAATACATGAAGATTCCTATGAGCTAAAATGACAATGTAAGAGCGATACGTCGCATTTGTTGAAAGAATTTTTTAATCAACAATATATTTACAACTGTCCTACATAGACATTTAGTAAATCTTTTGGCAATTAATTTGTCGAAAGCTGGCGATCACACCTTCAAATATTATTTTTTTGTCACATAGAAGAATTCATTCTTGTCACACTGTTTAAATTATTCACTTTATATTAAATTTATACAAGAGTTGAATTAACATGTATGTATAGTGGAAAATATATGAGTTATATATGTACATATCTTTATATATATATATATATATATATATATATCATAGGGTGGTCCTTAATATGGACATTTTCGAATTTCCTTGCTCCCAGGGGCTCAAATGGTTCCAAATTGATAAAAAAACAATTCTCTGAAAGTTTTAGCTCTTAATATTGAAGTTTAGATATAGCGCAATTCAATCAAACTTCGTATGAAAATAGCATGAAAAAATTTTGAAATAAAAAAAAAATTTTTTAGGTATGCGATAAATGAATTAAAAGTGAAAACTTGTGTCATTTTTTATTGAAGATTCGACGCTATGCAAAATTTTTGAAATGTTTTTCATTCTATTTCCATACAAAACTTTGTAATTTTCAAATGGTTTTTAATACACATATTATGCATAATAACACACTCCTATCAATGGCGACTCTGATACTGATCTTTTTTTAACAATTGGCTATTTTCGGACGGCTGTCTGCCATAGAAAAGTAGAATTTTATTTGTTATGTATTATTTTTTTGTTCAATTAATTCATGAAATATTTTTGTTTTGATTTAGTAATTTTATATTATGATGATTATTAGTTTATGTCAAGTTTTGTAAATTAAATGGGGATTCGAGTTAAAAAAGTAACCCATTCTCAAGAATAAATCTATGCAGTGATAAGACAGTGTTCTCTTTTCAAGATGTACTAATAGTTATTTGTTATACATTATTGTATAATTTTCTTTCTAAAAGCAGTAAAACGACCTAGCAATTCGAGCAGAATTTTTTTATCAAAAAGACAGTCATATAAAAACGATATACTAGACTTTTCCGTTAACTAACCGTAAGGTAGTTATAGTAATGGGTAGAGGTGGGTTTAATTTGAAAAACTTAAATATTTTCATTACAGCAAAGCCATATACTAAAACATCGAATTTACATGTTATATAAAAATAGCAATATAATAATGTATAGTTATATAAAATGTTATGAAAAATAAAAAATCAATTTTCAGGTTTAGTTTAAAAAAATTATTACAAGACAAATGCTATGAGATTTTTATGAAAAATATTAACCATTGAAAACTATAATAAATATAACTGATTTTCTAAAATTAAACGATTTGGCGCGTGTTGCAAGTTTCTTTTAAGATGTACATGTACATTTGCAATATTATAAAAGCAGTAGCCTAACAATAAGCGATTTTCATAGTATTAGTTGATCCTTTCCGACGCAGGTACCTGCCTACATTCGTTTTCGACAACGAACGAATTCCTATATCGTTGAAAAAACTAACTGGCCGCCATGTTTTCAACTGTTTCGAAACTAGTAGATTTTCAACTAGTTATTTCGTTGCGACGAAACGGTTAGTTAGTTAACGAAGAAGAAACGGTTGAAAATAACCGTTCGTTGATTCAACGTCCATCACTAGTAATGGGACAAAAATCGTTTTCACTGCTGTCTGACAACAGGCTGCTCGAAGTGGGTATCGAACCCGGGACCTCTGATTCAGATCCCATCGCTCTTAACCGCTTTCCTACGGGCGAGCCCGGATTAAAACTTAACCAGTAAAAAATGAAAAGACATATTTTAACTAATTCAATTTATTCAATATAACTTATAATTAATAATTAAAATAAATTTCATCTAAAAATTCTAAAACAATTAAAGATCATCAGAAATTAACTTGAACATCTAAAATCTAATGTTTGTGGGATTTCATTCCACCGGGATGTTGTCCTGGTTCATGGTGATCGTGGTCGTATTGTTTTGGTTCCATTTTGAGTTCACCAATTACGGTACCTTCCAACAAGTTGTTCAAGTATGGTTCCACGCAGCAGCAATGGCAGCATTCGGAGTCATCTGCTTCTTCTATTGGAGCAGAAGTAACCGCCAAAAATACCTATATAAATTAAAAATAAAAATGTTAATTTTGTTAATTTTATTAAATGCATTTGTTTTGTATAAGACAGAAATAGGTTTTGTACATTTTCTTATAAATATGCTTTTGTCTGAGCAGGGTATAAAGTTTTATCTAAAATTGCAATATCTGTACAATAAGAATTGGTTTTATCTTTATAAAATAATTATTTACTCTTAGTAAACAATAACTATTAATTTTGAAACCACGTGGTCATATACGCTTGCATATTAATGCAAAGCAAATCTGGCCACTAGTAATAATACTACTTGAATTGCCTATAATATTTATTTTTTATTTTTTACCTTACCAAGACTTCTACTTACCATAAAGGCCACAAATGTCACCGCAAAGAATTTCATTTTGGCTGATGTTGTATGCGAATTTAACAATTCAAGGAACACTTATCGATTCTTGTTACTTCTTGGAACTGAATACTTCCTCAATAGCTCGCTGGGTATTTATACACAAAATTGAATCAATTATAAACATTCCAATCTGTTCACCAGTTCAGTAACATCATTAAATAATATAAACAAATTAAATTAACTATACACGAAAACGCAATCAACAAGTTATTAGATCCATATCAGAAGTAAATATTTTTATTGATAAGTTAAACGGTTTTAGATTATTGAAATATTATAAAAATATACGCATTATTAGAACATTGATAACATTTATAGTTTTGAAAAATTAAAAAATGTGATGCATTGTTTTGTTATTTTGGAAACATTCTAATGACATTATTTTTTAAAACAACCGAAAAGCAAGCGATCAAAGTGCACAAAATATTTTGATGGGGATACAGAATAGTCTAATATTTTTAGGATTTTAATTTACCTTTGTTTAGATATATAGTTGGTTTTTATTTCAATAAAAATACATATAAAATCAAGGGTCTACGACAAGGCGTTCAAATTATAAAAAAACATTAATCATTAATGCTAGGTTGTTATTGCAATTTTTCTTGAGGCAAAATATCTCACACTAGTTTATTTCTGCGTCGGAATTAAAAACATTATATTTGTGATATTAAATATTCAATAAATTGTTCTGAATTATTATTGAAAAATATAATAATCTTTATCATTTGATGTAGGTATACATAAAATCTCAAATACTATCCACTGCAATAATTTTGCCAGATTCCATTGGCAACAAATAATTGAAGCAGCACCTTAAATTTTTAGTAATCAGAATTCCCAAAAAAAAAAATATTTTATTAGGCCATATATATCCATTGTTTCAAAAAAAAAAAATTACTATATTTATGAATAAGATTTCGAATTTTAATCTCGTTATTAATACATTTTATGTATCTAATTATTTACTTTATTACAAACCAGACTAAAAATCTGTTTACACATACACACACATACTTTTTCCAAATTTAGTCTCATTCGATTCAGAATCGCTTGAAACACTGAGAATACACAAAATTAGCGAATCAGATTTTTTTATTAAAACAGACTTCTCCTTCGGGAAGTAAATAATATATTATTAATAATAAAGTAAATAATAATATTCACATGAATACAATTAATTGAAACAACGTCTCTTTGGTTTGAGACTTAGGCCATTGTCATGAATTATTAGTTCAATACTAAAAAAAATCAATCAATATTTTTATTTACGCATACAATATATAAATAGCAACTATAGAATTTTATGTGTTTTATTTTATTTTTATAATTTTATAAACTTATTTTGATAAAAGTATATTATAAGAGCTACTGACGACGTGGCGATCTTTTTCTCACCTTTAAAGCACTTAAATAATCCTCGGTCCTTCGTCTTTCATCTTTGATAAATTTAATTCCTTTTTTCTTAATTGCTGTTATACGCAATCGTTCTTCACTTATATTGTAATCTTCTAGGATACGATTTGTTTTCTTGATTTGATCCAAAGTTGTGAATAAATCCGACAAAGATGCATCAGATTGAGATACACTAGATTAAGGTTAATAAATAATATTTTAAATTTAGATTCATTACTATAGTTCAGCAGTTGAATATTAATTATTTAGCAAGAATAATGTGTATTGAGGAAAGCTAAAGAATTTTGAGTTAGGAAAAAATTATTACAATGAATCAGTAAAAATATCTGACATAGCATTTAATTTTGATGTTTAAAAGGATGTTTTACTTGAACATTATTCAATTATGATTAAATTGTAGTAAGTGATTTCGTTTGTATTTTATTTATATACTAAAATGTTAGTAAACTAGAGACTCAAAATATCAACTTTTTTGAAATGTTAATATCAAGATGCACTTTTTGGCATATTTTTCAAAACACGGTGCTCTTATTTGTATAATTATATACTCATTGGTATTTATAAAACTTTTTCTAGGTTATATTATTTTTTATTTATGTTATTTAAATTCAGAACCTAAATTTGGTATCGATCAAATGGACATTTTGTCAAATAACATTTTCCCAGTTATAATTTCCCAGAGGTCTGGGGTTAAAACGGTCCACCACTGATGTGTCAAAAATCAGTAAAGTTAAGCATTTTTTAACAACAATATTTGAAAGTAGAGGAAAAAAGATGTATAACCAGTTTGAAAACGATAATCTTTGAATTGGGGAAGATGAACGGTAATCTTTGAAAATCCATAATAAAAGTATTTTCTTCCGTTGTTAGCTAGGATTAGTTAAAAATGTAATTATTTTGTAAAATACCTTTAAAATTTTAGTAAGGCTTTAAACCTTTTTGCCACCTGCCTGTTTCAAGTTACCCCGCCTATAGGGTAAAAAGGTCTGGATAACAAATTTTTGAAAGACACATTTCTACAATGATGAAGTAGAAGGCAGTTTACTGAACATAGTCAGATAATTGTTCGTTTGATATGTGTTATTTGTTGTGATATAATTGTTATGGTTTTCACAATATAGTTTATATTTGCTCAAAGTCAAATTGGACCTTTGTGCCTCGCCCTGCTCTACATATATACTTTTTATTAAATTTACTTTAATTCATCGAATGTTACTTGAAACTTTTCAAAAAACTGGTCAAAGAAGAAATGCTTAATTCATTTTTTATCTCTCTTCGCAAAAATTTGAAAATTTTGTATAAGCTCAGTAGTATTATTTACAATTATACACAAAAAGAATCCAAAAAGAATCTGAAAAACTTGAAACGTAATCAATAAGTCGAAAGACCAAAAAGGACTTGGATGGATTTACTAAGTTTTCTATAGAAAGTGCATAAAACTTCCAGTTTGATTGTGTTGACAAAATATAGACAAACTAATGGGATTTATTGTTTTTATAATACCTTATTGCATATAGCATTGAAACAACATACCCTTATACACTTAAAGTATTAGTATTTTTGATTCTCTAGAAATTGTTTAAAATATACCTTACTCAGCAAAACAACATTTGCTGGGTCAGATAGTTCAATATATAATTCCTTGTCCATAAACACGGTTTATAGAAAATAATCATCTGATCATCATTTTACATTTCCAATAATAACAGAGTTAGTCAGATTTGAGACAATAAAGAACAGGTGGACAAAATAATTATAATTAATAATAATAACGAAATTTTAATACAAAGAATAACACTTAATGTTACCTGTAACATATGAACTCTGGATAATCATTTGACTCTTGCATTCGGAAGCGAGACTGTTAAAAAAAAAACATAAATGAAATTTTAATTATCATGTGCAATATTTATAATTTAAAAAAATGTTTATAAAAATATACCTCTAAATCTCTTTTCAAAGAAAGTATTCCTTGCTTAGATATAGCTAATATTCGCAGCTTCAATAAAACGCTATAATAGCGATTGACTCTAAAATGTAAATAACATATTAATAAAAAGAATAAAAATCAATAAACATATTTTTGTATAATTGGCTGCAAATTATTGTCAGAACACTTTATATATTTTTAAATTTGGTAGAAATTAACTTATCACAAAAAGTACAAATGCTTTATTTTTTAAATAAAGCAGACCTGGGTGACTAATCTTTACTACGATCGATAGCATAGCACTAAATAAGCTGGAAAATTAATTACTTGACTCAAATTTTGAAAATATTATATGGCCAAAATAATTTGATATTAGTATTCATTTACTTTCTTGGTTGTATTAATTATTCATTTTACAAATATCTGAATAAAGTAGTAATCAAATTTATAAAATTATTTTAAATTCAATTTGGTAAGCATATATTATTTCTCCTTACTTTCTATTGAGGGTCGTGGTTGTGCAAATATATTCGATTTGTCCATTTTCTAAGATTCCAATACGATTGCACAAAGCTTCGCATTCTATAAGATTGGATGATGCCAGTAGTATGGTGCCTCCTTGAAGCACATAATGTCGAATCATTCTCCAAATGAGCCTTTTGGACACGTGGGTTAGGCCACGGGTGGGTTCATCGAGTAGGACAAGATCTCGGCCGCAAAGAAGTGCTTGGGCGATCGCAAACCTTCGCCGGACATCTTGATTCACATCGTGTACCTAGAATGGATTAATTAGAAATAATATAGTATTTATGAAAAATATATTTCACCTTCTTCCGTCTATAATCTTCTAATTGCATTGCTTTTATAAACATATTGATTCTTTCCCTTCTATAAGAATCACTATAACCATTTAACGTCATCAGAAGATGCAATGTATCTTCAATGCTTAAGGCTTCTGTATATGTGGAAGTTTCATCACAGTGTGTTATTTGACTTAGATATTTGGAGCCATGTTTTGTCAGTCTGGCATTTCCGATAAAGGCATCTCCACCAAATGATACTTCTGATCCACTCAAAATACGCATAATTGTTGTTTTCCCTGATTTACTGTTTCCTAATAGTGCAAATCCAGTATTAGCCAGTACACCAAATGTTAAACCACCGGCACCTATAGTTTTGCCATACCTGAAAACATATGAGACGTTAAATAAATGAATTAATGAATTAAGTATTGGCATACAATACAAACCTCTTGTGTATTCGTGAAACGAGCAGTTTATAATTCTGCGATGTGCTGGCATCACTAAGAGTATTTGCTAAAATTTGTTCTATTGCAAATTTTTCTTGTAATACTTCATTATCCGTTGGTATGACCAAAGTTCCATAATTGCTATAAGTTTCATTATTTAGAATCCGCGCCTCATACAGGTATAATATTAAAATTACTATAACCAAATCCAGAATCAAGAACAAAATTGCTTGTAGTACGCCGGATTGATAAAGAAGTTTTGTTGATAATTCATCGGGGCAATCAAAATTATAAAATTTTGTTAAATTACACCTCATTTGACAACAATCGTACAGTCTATTATATATTTTGTCACACGTTTCAGGCGGTTCCATTTTGCTGAGTTGACAATTCGAAAGTTTGGTTAATACAAAAAATAGATCGTGCAACCCTTGGCTGAATGCTACGGAAGGTATAAGTTGTGCTAAAGTTTTAGTAATCGTAAAAATAATGTACTCTGTTTCTAAGAAACTGATTTTTCTGACATCATGCAAAGAACTGTATCTGGATAAATTCCGGATTATATCGCTTCTCCATTTGTACCATGCTTCTGGAGCAGCTATGGAGATGACTGATATTGTAAATATTACCACATACCCGGTTTGCTTAGAATTAAAATAAAATGTAGTTAGATAAGAAGTACAAGTTCCAACCATGCTGTACAAAAACATTATAAAAAATACAAGCTGCCACTCTGATGAAGTATAATCGCTGTCGGAAAACCACATCAAGCATAGAAGTAAGCACAAACTGTAAATTGTGTAGAATAAAATATCCACTAGAGCAATTGTTATCCAATACATTAAAGAAGATACTCCAGCATAGTGCATTTGTTGTTTGAAAAAATTAGATTTTTCTGCGTAAGGAACTGATGCTGCAATTGGAATCGCAAAGGCGAATACAAAACCAATAATTGGGCACCTGAGAAAAAAAGGTTATTTTTGATATCCAATTATTTTCATACACATTAGTACAACTTCTAATTACCAGTAATTTGAAGAGACATAGTATAAATCATTATATCCATCTTCTTTTACAACTTTTGTCTGTATCATTAGTGGATTATCCTTTTCAATCTTTAAAACGATGTTTGCCAACAGATCATTTAATATTATATCATGGCAGAAGTTGTTACTAAATAAATGAACTTGCAAAAAATTCTGTTTATAATCGGTAAGTTCAAACACAACAGTTGCTGGAGTAATTTTTCCCAAATGTTTAATTTTCTGCAATTGAGAATTTATAGTTTATACCATTTTCTATGTGGTTTAAAAAATATATTGATATGTCTTTAGTCTACCATTCTAGAATCGTAATATTGTATACGTTCACTAAAATTTGTGATCTGATTCAATACAGCATCAGTCCAAAATTCAGTTTGAAATTCTTGTCTGATGTTTCTAAATATCAAAGCTGTGTCTATACGAGGAGGACAATTTCTTCTGTATTTGGTATCCTAAAATTTAATAAACATATTTAAAAATTTCCTCTAAATTAAATACATCGTACATCTGATTCATTCATTTATAATGAATTGTTTTTCTTTCTTCTTTTATTTCTTACCATTGGTTCTAGATGCAGTAATGAAATAATAACTGCAACCATTGACAACGTAAAAATGAGTGTATAGGGCATCCAATTCATAATCATACATGCTAATTTTCTATATGCCAATGAAATAAACTGTCGATAAATAAGAAGAGTTCCCTTCCATTGTATTCTGTATTTTCGACTAGAACTGCCTTGTTCGAAATCTTCCGCCATATTTTGTCTACTTGCGTCATGTAGAACTAGAGAAAGAGGCATGTCTGGCAATTCACCAGGAGCCTGAATAATAAATTTACTTATCAGATATGTATCAAACGATTGGAAAGCAAAATCCTATAAAATCAACCTAAATACTTACCCCAGTAAATACGTCTTCCATTACAGCTTGTTCCAAATGAAAGTTATTATGCCCAAGTAGTTCTTATAATTTTCAATTTCTTCGAATAAATTTGGAAATTTATGTGTTTCCAGTACAGGCAAAGTTACCACAAATATCGGATTTGCATCATGCACGGTTTCAGTTACGGAAATATGTCTCTTCACAAGATCGATGACTCGTTGAGGGTAAAAGACATTGGAACAGATCATGGTCAATGTATAACCGTATCGAAATAATCCTTTGATGTACCTTTGGAAAAAATTAACAATGCATATATTGATTTTTGATTTCTTTAGCATATTTTGTTTGATTAGCTAGAAGTCTTAGAATCTTATAAACTCTAAATGAGTTTAGGGACCAAGTAGTGAAGATCTGCCAAATTCGATTGATTTTGATTGTCATCAATAGATAAATATCCATAAAAACTTGAGGTCAATTTACCTTAAGCAAATTTATTTCATTTAAATTAGTAATCTAATAAATTACAGTTTATTAAATATTGCAGATACTACTTAAACAAAATTTTTAATCATGTGGTTTGTAATTTTTCTTACCATGGTGAACCAAGACACTGCAAAGATCCTCGATAAACTATTGCTAATTTATCCGCCAGCAATTCTGCTTCTGAGGAATCTTCAGTTGTTATGATTAATGTTTTTACACCACGGTACTTCAAAAGGAAACTCCAAATTTCTCTCTGAGTTGTCGTGTCTAAACCTGCCGTTGGTTGATCTAGTAACAATATGTCTACTTCTCCAATCACTGCCAAAGCTATAGACAATTTTCTAAGTTGATTCGGTCGCAAAGATGATGTGGAAGCATTGTAATAATCAAAAAGATTTAGCTCTAATAGCAGTTTAGCAGATTCTGTTTTAGCTCGAGGTAGGTCATACCCTCGTAGCATTCCAAAATATATCAGTAGATCCAAAATGCTCATGTGTTCACAATGAATATTGCCCTAATTATAAAAAGGACGAATATATCGCAATAATATATTTATTTATTCGAAATCTGATTGTATATTTATCTTTTCCAACCTGCGCACAAAATCCTACATTTCCATTGACAACTACTCGTCCAAGAGTAGGATAAACAGTACCGGCCATAATATTGACTAATGTCGATTTTCCACCATAACGTTCACCCATAATTACAGTATTAGTATTTTTTTCAAACTCTGCACTAAAATTTCTTACTGCCACTGTGCGTTTCCTTGAGGGTCCAAAACCGACCCTAAATTTCATATATATATATATATTTATATATATATATATATATATATATATGTTTCTGAAGCTTATTCAAACTAATTGCTTATCAAACTTTACATTGGGATATCTAATATTTAAAGTGTTTAATTAACTTAAGTTAGAGTGAGCGGATTTTTAAAAAAATCTACGCTTGTTTTCAACCTTACCTATATACTTTATATACTCGTGACAAAGTTATAGCAATTATTCCAACTTCTGCTTTCTCATTTGGAAAACGAGGCAGTAAAGATATTGCAGATGTGCCAAATACTTTGAAACCACAAAGTTCACCTAGAAGCTCAACCAACCAGAAAAATGGCACGAAACACCATATAGTTCCATATCTATTAGAAATAAATTTATTTAGGATGAACGAAAATGCTTGTCAAGAACAAAGATTAAATAATTCATTTGCTACAAGTTTTAATAGTGATTCATCAAAATATATGCAATATTATTCCATTTATAACATCTGAGCATTTTACATTAACAAATAACAAATTTAGACATAACAAATAGATGCTTTAGTTTTTGCGTGCCAGTGTTATATAAAATGGTAAAAGCGAAAAAAATAATATATGAAATTTTATAATATCGCTAATGCTGAATTTTAAAAAGTAGCACTTTTATTTTTGCGAAGATCATATTGTTCCTTATGTTGCAACTCTAATGTGTTTATTAAATATTCGGTAATGTCAAATATTCTTATAAAAATTAAAATTTATATTGGGCGATCTTATTGTTCAAATCTTTTGCGTTTGCGCTATAAAAAATTATTTATGTAGCAGGCCATAAAATAAAACAAAAATCAACAAACTATTTAACAAAATTTGTAATTTCCAATCAATAGCTTTTTGCAAGTGTGATTTTTATGCAAATTGCAAGTAATTTTTTTTAAAACTTCAAGACCTAGAAAAGGTTAGCATTACCAATGCATTATTATTAAAAAAGTTATTTACTTATTATCCCGCATCTTATTCAGAAAATATGTAGCCAGTGACAACCAAACGACATCAAAAAGCATCACGAGCATGATAGCTGTCAAATTCGGTTTTTTCATCGATTTTATGATCCAGGAACCTGACCATACATCTTCATATAAAAATTTCCTCGTTGACGTCGTCTCATCAATTACCTGAAAGCCAAGTTGGAGAGCGTAGCACGGCCAAATGCAATAATACAAACAATTCTCCATACCCGGCTCATATATGGGATAGACCATAAACCAGGAAATTGCCATAATTAAAATATTTAAGTTGTAGTCTTCAGTCATGCAAGATATTAGAAACGCCAAAACAATACCACAGAGGCAGAATAATGATAAAAACATCCAAATGATGTACCATTTTGTCAATTCATAATCCTTCAAAATAAGGGCCAGGACAAAGGCAATGACAACGTTTGTGATCATTCGTTGAATAACGTAGCCAAACCAAATAAAAATTTCAGGTACATTGCACGATATGATCATATACTTCATGAGAGTTTCACGTTCTAGCATAACGTCTTTAACAGTTTTTATGATAAATACGAACGCTAATTTGATCAGAAACGTCATGATGATTCTATCATCCATTATGTGAATGCTTGTTGCCAAGAAACTATGCTTGCTATTCTCACTTTTAGAGTTCAGTCTGTTCACGCGCATGTCAAAATTACGAAAATTAGTACCATGCATCTGAAGAAAACTTCGATGTGTTTTCTTTTGAAAATTTTTTGCTTTAGTTTTCCAAGAACTAGTGTCGTGGATCATACTATTCTGATGAGTTCTTATCGTAAAATGTAAATTATTTGATTGATTGCTATGAAAAACCATTGCTATATTAGATGATTTCTTTCGTTTGATATTCCGCATTGGCTCATTTATTCCAACTGTCCTGCAATCCTTGTGACTGCAAACGTCGCTCATTATTCTCTTCGTCAAGTTTGTGACGGGAAAAAGAATATTCTTCTACGGAATCATTTTGCGAACGCAATTCCGGTATGCGTCTTGTTAATGAATCATCGTGTTTAACTTCGCTCTCCACAATCAACCAGAATATTAAGCAAACGCATAGTGATACTACAAATTCAGGAAATCTTTGAACTTTGACTTGTTTCCAGAATAAACATTTGAGAATATTAAATATGTGAATTTTCGAATATCGAGTCATTTTTTAATTTATAGAATATATTTTGTTAGAATTTTTAAACAAACTTGTGCAAAGATTTTGTTTTTGATGTATAGCTTTTGTTTTTATTTTTGCAATAAAATTTGAAGATAATGTTGTGTTTTTATTTTTATTGACATTCATAAGTACATATTACGTACGGATTATATAAATAAGAAGCAGAGTTTAACTAGTTGGTATTGGTATTTAGCCTTGAGGCAAGTTACATGAACTTCCCGATATGTGTAAATAATCGACTTAATCAATAAAAATAAATTAATTTATGAGTGGATCTATTACACATAATTGAAAACGAACAAACACGTTAACTCGGAGTATTTTCTAAAAGCAACTTTTCAAAAATTAACAATTGTTATATTTGAACCAGTTTCCGTAGGATTTTAATGGTATTATTATTATTAATATGTTTATTAAGACCAAGTACTACATTGTTATACCAAGTAAATCGTCTATTTTAATTTTAGCTAACGTCAAAAAACTACTTATTTTCTCAAACTTTGATGAATTTTTAAAATTAAACTACTTATCGTAAAACCGTAATATTACAGTAAGTTCTATAAGACCATGATATATATCGCTAAACAAAAATCCGTAAAAATCGGCTTAAATTTTTTTTTTTCAACAGTTAATTACAAGAAAATGGCTCGGTAGATTTTCACCTAAAACTAATCAGTAACATTCTCAACTAATATCTTTCGAACAGTTTTTGATTTTTTAAAATCGAGTTCGGTAGGATGAGCTTAAATGTAGACGAAAATTAAAACACTTTTTTTTACAAAAAGAAAAAACGGCTTGGCGCACAAAACTGACAAACGATAGTCCTCATCGAAATACATCAAATGGCTATTCAATTTCTGAGATCGGTTCAGGCGTTTTTGAGAAAACGTCGATGAAAGATCTGATTTTGACAAATGCCAAAAAACGATACCAATTTTTGCAAACTTTGACGAATTTTCAAAGTTCAACCAATTGTCGTAGGGCCGTAGTATTTTAGTACTATAGTATCTACCGTCAAAAAAATAATAAATTTTTTTTTAACATTATTACAAGAAAACGGCCCGGCAGATCTTTACCAAAAACTAATCAGCACGATTCCCAATCAATATCTTTCGAACGGTTTTTGAATTTTCATAATCGGTTCAGAATTGCGGCTAAAACGTGGACTAAAAGTTTTTCACTTTCCTGCTATTTATAAAGAAACGTCTCGGCCGATCGTCGCACAAAACTGACGAAGTCCTCGTCGAGATACATCGAATGGCTTTTAAATTTTTGAAATCGGCCCAGCCGCTTTCGAGAAAACGTCGATTTACGGCAAAAAATCTGATCACATACACACACACATACTTTTTCCAAATTTGGTCTCATTCGATTCAGAATGGCTTGAAACGTCGAGAAAACATAAAATTAGCGAATCTGATCTTTTGATGAAAACAAACTTCTCCTTCGGGAAGTAAAAAAGTGAAAAATTTCAGTCTGAAATTACAATTTTATATTTTAATAACAAACACAAAAAATTATTTAAATTATTTAATTTTCTTAAGAAAGATACACATACAGAAAAATTATTTTATGTTTTATAAATTTACAATCCCAATAGTACAGTAGCCGTTGATGGAGCAACTTGAGTTGGGGCGCATGCTTGTCTGACACTCATCTCCCACGTGTCTAACAACTGCGAAATCGAAAACCTAAAGCAGAAAAATAAATAAAAATATCAATTAAGTAGATAATGAATAGTAAATTGTCTTACCTTCTAGGTAATTTCGTTATTCTAGTCTGAAGAGCTTTTTGAACAGTAGATAGGAACTCCGTCATTCCGTACTCGTGCTCTGCCATCGAGAGCTGAGGAGAAGTTTGAGGATAATCTTCCGGAACATAAAGCGATACCGGAGGTACACTTGGCAAAAATTTATCATCTAAGCAGCACAATAATTGGATAGATCTAAAATAACGTAATAATTGATTAGCTAAATAATTGATTTACTAAACACTTGTATTACCTTGAGCCAGGCTGATGTGTCGGATCAAGTGAAACCTTGAATCTTTGATCTAGTCTAGCAATCTCACCTTGAAGGACGTCGGAAATATCAGTCGGTGCGTCCTCAGGAAATGATCTTTTCAATGAGGAAGGAGTATTTCTATGGAAATAAAATAAATAATGTCAACATTTGTACATTTATAAATCATATAATCAGATGTCAGAAAAATATT